AGATTTGCCCAGTGCAATACGTCGTCTGATCTCTTGACTGCTACTTCCGCGAGTGTTGATAGTGATCCAAGAAGAATGACCAAGAAGAATGAAGTCCTTGACAACTTCAATCTTTTCTCCATTGATAAGAATGTTGTTTATTGGTCCAGTGGTGAGGATTTTTGTTTTCTTGACATTGAGATGTAATCCATATCGAAGGCTGTGCTCTTTAATCTTCATAAGTAAATGTTTCAAGTCCTCTTCACTTTCAGCGATCAAGGTAACCCTATACAGGGTTAATATGAGTTCGAAGTGACTCACTGACACTTAACAACATACTGAGTGTACCTGACAATCTTCTTTTATACTTTTCAAGTAAAATAATCACTTTTTAATAGCTATTAAGTTTTTTTTCTGTGAAACTAAAGGCATTTTGAAGAAATGACATGACCACAACGTAAGGGTTCCAAACTGCATACATACGTTAATAGAAACAGCGCACCAACATGAAGCCCACCGATAGTGGCATACAAAGTTCAGAATCTGTAAGAGACTTTCTGTCATCTAAGCAGCTTTCCATTATAAGAACTAAAAACACAACTGAGACTGGCTTTAAAAATAAAGTTTATTTGTTCACCTAATTGAAAATGCCAGAGGCACATGTTGCCAATGAGGAATGACATAGAATTTCATATAATGGGACTTAAGACCTAGTTTCTTTGCTTCCATTTTTTGTCACTGATTTAGCATTGGCTCCTTTTGGACAAACACATGCTGCCAATTCAAGATCCATAGTTGGCTTCAAATAGCACTGAGATTTACATGACTACCTCATTCATGAAACAGTCCAAGAGTCTCCATATTACCAGAAAACTGTCTTTTGAGTTACTTTAATTAGATGAGCTTTAGGTAACTGCGGCAATTTAAAACCACTAGCTATGATCATGGATGGCACATGCATATTGTTTCTGCAATATAGGGCCCACCTCTTGAACCAGGTGAGGTTCATTTTGTTTAAACCATAGAGGTGAGAAGGGAGGGAGGCGTAGGTTGCTAAAAGCAGTTCAGGGCTACTACTACAAGAAGGAAGGAGCTCTGGTAGCACGTAGTGGTTACGAATTGGGCTGCTAATCTCCAGGTCAGCAGTTTGAAACTACCAGTTGTTCTGCAGGAGAAAGATGAGGCTTTCTACCCCAGTAAAGATATACAGCCTCGGAAATCCTGTATAGGGTCGCTATGAATCAGAACCAACTCCATGGCACATAACCACTACAAGAAGGAAAAGAAATGGATAGTGGGCACCTGGCAACAGGTATTCATTCCAGGTGTTCCCAAAGTCTATTGCTATTCAATTAGTCAGCCTTTAAAAATAAATTTAAGACTTTAACTAACCTGAAACTTCACATATTTTCAGCATTTTATTTAACATATTTTTAGAAAACAGGCACAAATTAAATGTCATTTTCACAATATTTTATTTTTGGTATTTTTATAATAGTTAAAAACAAAACAAAAAACCACCTTGCTATGAAACTGCCAATACACACTTTACAGGATTTTATGTTCAAGAAAATGTCCATACTCAAAGGAGGACTCATGAACTCAAACATACTTTAGTAGATGTCCCTCTTTAAACATTTTTAAATGATTTTTGAAATGTATTCTCAGACCACTGAAACACACATGAAATGCAGTTTACCTTTCCAGAGCATGGCATTTGTCACCACCTCAATCACATTCTACCCTCTATTCTCTGGAGCATAGCTCCAACAAGCTTGTTTTATTGGGGGGGGGGGGGGGGCTATGTCTTTTTGATCTTGAAGAGTTCTCCCTTTAAGAGTTCTGGTTTTCCCTGGGTCAACCTCTTCAATTCCCACTCCTTCTGATACTCCCAGTATTTTTTTTAAAACTGAAGTTCTTTCATCTGTCCTTATCTATTTAAATCCAGGGAAGAGCCTAGAGTGAAATGAATGCTTACAGTTCACCCCACCTCTGCAGCCTGCAATCTGTCTTTAGCCTCTATAATTTGAGTCTGCTAAAAGTTATCAGTGGCATGTATCTTCATCCTACTGAATTATTTATATGGCTGATAATCCCTGACCCCTTTTTGAGCTTGTTCCTCTTATCTGATTGTTCTTCCTTTGTCACCCCTAAGATAGAATCATGTCTGTTATATTATTTCTCTTTTATCCATAAAACCCAAATAGGGTTGCTAAAACTCTGAAAGTTTTCATGACCTGGCTCCAATCTTTCAGTTATATCTTCCATTTCTTCCATTCACTGCCATGTTGACTGACAAAAACTCACTATTCAAGAAATGTCACTGGTGCTGCCTTTTTTCCCAAGGTTCCTTCCAAGTCCAGCTCACATGTTTTCCCTTCCATGGAGCCTTCTCTGGTTCCTTCAAGTCATAAACCACAATTTCTAAACTCCATCAACATCAAACGGTCCAAGCCACCATAAGCTCTTGATTAGACCTCAGTAAAACTTGTATCATTGCTTCTTGCCCATCCACACAACCACAATTTCTAATACAATCCAAACTCCTTCCCAAGACCTACAAGGATCCTCAAGATAAGATCCCTGATAAGGCTTCTTGGTCCAGACACTCTCCTAAGTACTTTACTTGGATTGACAAAACTCTATGAGCTGTATATGGATGCTACTGGTGGTTGTTACAAAAACATATATTTGCCAATTCAACATTATTTAGGTGTACAATTTAGTACCATCAACTACACTGATCACCTTGTGCAACCATCACCTATGATCATTGTCAAGTTTCCCAGCATCATAAAAACACTGCTAAAATGAGCTGTGAACTATTAAGATCTGTTTGTAGCAGATGCTACACCTAGATCCTTTTCAGGGCTGGTACACTCACGCTCCAGCTGCTAATAGCTCATGCTTCCACCAGTCTTTGGAGGACTGCCCTTGGCTGAGAAGAGGCACCTGGACATCTGCCCACTCTCAATTCTTTCTGCCCAAGCCCCACCCCAAACCCACAGCCAATCTGAACCAAGCCCCCCTCTGCTTCTAGGCAGGACCTGTGGTTCAGTGTACACTGTAGCACTGCTGAAGAAGGCCCCATAGGATCAGGCTGAAACTGCATTTCTGGAAACCACTTCTTCTCCTGCCCCATCCTGGATATTTTTTGTACTGTTTCTTACTCCATTACAGATCTCTCCTAAGAGTACTCCATCAAGAGTTCTCTCTCAATAAACCACTTAGCTAAGAATCCCTATCTCAGACACTGATTCAAGATAATGAACCTATGACAACAGTTATAAATGAGAAAACTTATGAAAAAGAGAGATGAAGTGATCTTCCTCAGATCAGACAGTAAATGGAAGTTTGAAACCAGACAGTATGGCTCCAAACCTGTGTGTTTCCCACACTGCACTGGCTGTATCTCCAACCTCCTCTCAGGACATTTTGTGGCACCGGGATGATTCCAATTCACAGTGACGTTCTGGGGTAGAACAACACTGCCATTTATGGTTTCCTAGCCTGTAATCTTTATGGGAACAAATCACCAGGTCTTTTCTCCTGTGGAGCTCCAAATCACCAAGCTTTCAGTAAGCTGCCAAGTACCTGACCACTGCACCACCAGAGCTCTTTATAGCCCTGCCTAGCCAAGTAAACTCAGGCCCCGGGGTCTTTGTACTTCCTAGTTTCTCTGTCTAGAATGTTTTCCCTCTAGTTTTCTGTGGCATGCTTTCTGATTTCTTCTAAAATGCTTCAAATATTATCACCTTAAAAGTCTTTCCTGATCCCAACCACCCTATGTAAACTAGCATCACCAAACTCCAACTCTGATTTCATTTTATTTATAACTTTTAGTATCTGAAGCTACATTATGCTTTGTTTATTTATTGTCTGTCACCCACACTAAAGTGAAATGCCACGAGGGTACAAACGCTGTCTAGAGTAGTGACAACTTGGAGGCCTATTTGGCACAGAGTTGGAGGAGCTCAGGAAATGGTTGTTTTTGGATGAGTGAAATATTAGTTCTTATTTCTTAGCAATCCTACAGGGCTTTATGGAACTCTCTTTGCATGTTCTCTAGTCTCTACAAGGGGCTACAAAAAGTTTGTGGAAAATGGAATGAAAAGATACTGGAATTTTTCCAAAAACATATTTAAGTTCCCTAGTAGTCATTAATGCATATTTTATTCATCCTGCTATTCATTCATGCTCTGAGGGGACAGGAATTGTGTTTTATTAATTTTGGAGCACATGGGAGGCATTCAAATAATGGTGTATTTCTAAAATTCCAAATATCAACTGGTTTGTCTTCCACATTGAAGTCAACATCAGGATTTCACATAAATTGAAACAATCTAAAAATACTAAAAAAGTCATAATTTACAAAGTGTTCTTATATAAGTTATAAGAGATTTTAGTAAAAACAAGTAGGTACATATTATATTTATTTTTAAAACAATGCCATTTTTAAAATATGAAAAATAGAACTATTTTCAAAGAACTATTTAAATATGGCTTTGAAAACCACAATGTTTTATTTATAAGTAGCTGGTAATGCAGTGACATTCATATTTATGATAAACAAAACTATAATGATTTTTTCTGGCATTCTTAAAACCTTTATACTTCATTTCCATCTTCATCCAGTTTGGCAACATCTCAAACATACCAGTAGTTAGATAAGGGGAATTACTTCCATTTCCAAGTCAGTGCTTTATTATAGCCCTATAACCTAAATAAGGGGCAATATAGTTGAATCCTAGAAGTTCAGATTTTATACATTTAAAATACACTATGGGCCTATGCCAAAATACAAGATATAAATTGTAAATTACAGGAGCGCCTCTTACAAGAAAACACTAGTGATGGAATGACAACATGTCAGCTATTTTTCCAATTAAGTTAACTTCTTACACTTCACTAGTTAGTGCCTTCAAATGGGATTAATAAAGGCCGTAATTACAGTGGCGTCTTTACCAAAATTTCCTGATTTTAACATGGTCTGGGTTTGGGTAACACCTTTTCCAATAATTCTTATAGTTTAATCTACCCTAGAAACATAGAATGACATTCTCAGAATAAGCTGTATTCTTATTATTGCACAGTGGTCAATTTGTAAAGCCAATCTAGGGACGTGAGTTTAGAAAAAGAAGCAAATTCACCTAATGCATTTAGTGAATGTTACAAAACAGTTTCTACTTGAACAATTAAATAGCAGAATTTATGAAACTCTAGACTTGCTGTCAGTTTTAGCATTGTGTTGATTGCAGCCATTTTTAGGCAGAGGTAGCCAAGCCCCAAACACATGAAAGGCAAAAAGCAGAAAAACACTGTGAAGACTTAGCAGTTCTGTGACTTCTAGCAATTATAGACCATGTTTGTGAGCCATGTGGCTGTGCAGTACTCTTCTGAGTTTTATGTTTCAAACATGAAGGAGGATGCTGCTGCCTTGGGCAGATAGACTGGAATTATCTCCTTTGAGTTTTATTTTCTCTCAAGTCAAGTAAAAAATGTAAGACATTTTCATATACCACAAAGGTAATACAGCAGGCTGGTGTCACTCTAATTAGATTGGGGACAATTCCTTTGTAAAATCCACCGATGCCTTCTTTCCTTTAGAGGGGAAAAAAATAAATGGTTAACTTCCTAAAAATGGATGGCCTGAAAATACAAACATTTACCTGACACAGGGAATGGACAGTCAAACTCATTATGATTTAAGTTTAGACTGTACAAGGGGCTACAAATATCCTGAAATAATGTAGTTTATGACTCATCTGAAAGGCCTTATATTCCTTTTGTGGATTGATTATAAAAGGGAGGACAAGAACACCTCAAAACTGAACTTTACAGTGCTTTAATGATAATTATCTTTCAGACACCTTTAATGTATACATGAATTCTATACTGATCTAATGATGTATTGCATTAGGCTATCTGCTGCACATTTAAACTCTTTTAAAGTGTTCAAGAGCAAAGATATCAATTTAAGTGCTAATGTGCATCTGACTCAAGTCACGGTATTTGCAACAGCCTCATATACATGTGAAATTTGGACAACGAATAGGAAGACCATAGAAGAATTGATGAATTTAAGTTACGGTGTTGGAGAAGAATACTGAAAGTACCATGGACTGCCAGAAGAACAAACAAATATGTGTTAGAAGAAGTATAGCCAGAATGCTCCTTAAAAGCTGAGATGACACAACTTTGTCTCTCTTACTCTGGCCATCAGGAGGGACCAGTTCCTGGAGAAGGACATCTAGGTAAAGTGGAAAGGCAACGAAAAAGAGGAAGACCTGCAATGAGACTGATTTATACAACGGCAGCAGCAATAGGCTCAAGCGTAACAATTGTTAGCAGGGTGCAGGACTGGGCAGTGTTTTGTTCTGTAAAGCAGGGGGTCACTATGAGTCAGAAAAGACTTTATGGCTCTTAACATCAACAATAACATAGGCATTAAAAATCTCATTAAATTATGTGAATGCTGTTGCTGTTGTTAAGTGTTGTCGAGTCAATTCCAACTCACAGCAACCTGTATAAGGTTTCTGAGGGGCTGGTGGGTTTGAACCGCTAACTTTGTGGTTAGAAATCTAGTGCTTATCCTATAGCGCTAGACATCACCAAATACAGAACTCACAAAAGATAACACCTATTTCTTAATGCTTAGAATAAAGACTATGGCTTAAGAACTTGTCACTTAGGTGTTCGCTAAATATTTTCTGAATTAAACTAAACTTAAGCATTTTAAACATTCTGCTCTGGGTTTTCTACAATAGAAGGGAATCATTGAAATATTTACTTTTAACAGTCTAATTATACAATAAGCACTGGACTGCAAACCACAAGGCCCTAAGTTCGAGCCCATCAGCTGCTCCATAGGAGAAAGATGAGGCCTTCTCCTTCCACAAAGATTTAAAAGCGTCGTAAACCTTATACAGGGTCGCTATGTGTCAGAACCAACTCTATGGCACTTAACAACAATTCCCATCCTTTCTATACATGAAAACATGTATTTGCAAAAGTTACGATGCCAATAACAAGTATGGGATCTTCACAAATTATTAAACTGAGTATTTTTAGGGTTGGTTGGTTGTTGTTTTTTAAAATGACTTCCTATATTCAACGTAACAAGCCTCCGAGAGATTGTGACATTATGTCCCTGGTCGCAGATGTAGTAAATGGGAAACCGGGGGCCACCAGTCATCTTTTTATCTCAGTTCACTGGCTTTTGCTATAAAACAAGTATCAACAGTCTAAGACATATAAGATTCCTCCTAAAATACCAATCTGGATATACCCCACACTCTCACCTCCATGTCCTTGTGACTACATCCAATACACCCGTGTAAAAGACGTGTTGATCCTGAAGACGAGCTCTCACAACTTGATATGGATACGTTGCTGTTACAGCAAATATTTTGGAAAGTGCTGCAACAGATATATATTCTACTGTGCTCTAAAATGACAACACAAGAGATTTCTACTTTTCTTTAGAAATATACAAGGAGCTTCAAATAATTCATGGAAAAATGAAATGAAAAGATAATGGAATTTTACGACGAACTTTGTCAAGTATCCCCCAGAAGTCGTCAAAATTTTTCAGGAAAAAAAAATTTTAAGTGGAAAAATGTGATTTCCCTATTTTTAATACCTATGAATCATTAAGCCTATAAAATATTAAATTACAGATTAGCGGCAGAGCCAGTACTTATAATAACAGCAATACTACCAAAACAAGAGGAACAAAAATCCCACGTATAAAATGCCCATAAAAGTAAATACCGTTTTTCTAAGAATCATCTTACCAGCTGGGCTTCTGGTAATCTATTGATACGCTGGTTGTACTTCAACTTCAGCAATTCATATGCCATAAACTGAAGGGCACCATGTGATGTTCCAAACAGGCCAGGAACAAATCCCTAGAAACAAATCATGTAAAGGAAATAATAAAACTAATCTAAACAATGTACGTCCAAAGAAATATTTTCTCTCCAGTCTTCATATAGTACTTTAAGCAAACTTATTGTTTTAATTTTGCATGAATCATATTTTGGTAAATGGGATTTAAAAAAATGCATTCTTTTCTACTTTATTTTTGAAGTTTAGGCTTGAAATTTTCCATCTTAGACTTTCTTTAACAATATAACCATAAAAAGGTATCAAAAAAATATAAATTTCTAATCTGAAATATTAACAACTAGCAATAGGAAGAATACACAATCTTGCTGAAAGTGAGGACAATGGGAAAAACTGATGAAAATCCAAGATTATGCCATCAGTATGGATTGCACCTCATTGAAAAGAAAATGAAAACCCTCACATCTGAACCAATAGATAACAGCAAGATAAATGGAGAAAAGACTGAAGTTGTCAAAGATTTCATTTTGCTTGGATCTATAATCAACAGTTGTAGAAGCAGCAACCATGAAATCAAACAACATATTGCATTAGGCAAATCTGCTGCAAAAGACCTCTTTAAAGTGTTCAACAGCAAAGATATCAGTTTGAGGACTAAGATGTGCCTGACCTAAGCCATGGTATTGTCAATCGTCTTGTAAGAATGTGAAACTTAGAAAAAGAATAAGCAAGATCACAGAAAAATTGATGTATCTGAATTATGATGTTGGAGAACAATATGCATTTAAAGTGTTGGAGAAGAACATGGAAAGTACCATGGATGGCCAGAAGAAAAATAAACAGTGTGACTTACAGGAAGTACACCAAAATGCTCCTTAGAAGCAAAGATGGAGACTTTGTCTCTAGTAACTTGGACATGTTGTCAGGAGGGACCAGTTCCTGGAGAACAGCATCATGCTTGGAACAGTAGAAGGTCAGTAAACAACAGAAAGTCCCCAAACAAGATGAACTGACACAGTGGCAGCAATAATTGGCTCAAACATAAGAATTGTGAGGATAGGGCAGAAACAGACACTTTGTTCTATTGTGCACAGGGTCACTACGAATTGGAACTGCCTTGACAGCACCCAACAACAACAACCTGAAACAGCTCTGGACTGTGCTCATTAATGCTTAAAACATCTTTTTACACTTTCAAGAACTGTGGTGTGGTGAGAGATTAACTTCTAGAAGGTTAAGAAAGTAAAGGCAATGGTAATTCAATGAACTGATTATCAATATTCTAAAAGAATGAGACATGAAATGATGCATTTCCAAAAGTTTTTCTCATAGACCAATAATTCCTAACACTAATTTTATATTGTCAATGATTTTAATTTTGACTGTGTCTTCTCTAGCTGCCCTTTAAATTTTTCTATTCAGCTCTTTTACATCCTCATTTCTTCCATTTGCTTTAACATCTCTATGATGGAGAGAAAGTTTCTGAGTCTCTTCTGACATCCATTTTGGTCTTTTCCTTTTTTCTTGTCTTCTTAATGACATACCACAATTCTTTTGGTGTAATGCATCAAATCTGTTCTTGAGATTATCTCCAAATTCAAGTGGGATACGTTCCAGGTAATATTTTGGCTCTCGTGGACTTGTTTTCATTTCTTCAGCTTTGGAATGAACTTGCATTTGAACAATTGATGGTTTGTTCCACAGTCTGCCCTGGTCTTGTTTTGGCTGATGATATGGAGCTTTTCCACGTCTCTTTCCACAATGTAGTCAATTTGGTTTCTGTGTGTTCCATCAAGTGAGGTCCATGTGTATAGTCATCTTTTATGTTGTTTAAAAAAGAAGTCACCAGTCTTGCAAAATTCTATCAGGCAATATCCAGCATCATTTCTATCACCCAGGCCATTATTTTCCAGCTACTGATCTTTCCTCTTTGTTTCCCATCTTTGCATTCCAATCACCAGTAATTATCAATACATCTTGATTGCATGTTTGGTCAATTTCAGACTGAAGAAGTCTTTAGAATACTTCAATTTCACCAGTATTTCTCAAGCTGAGAAGAAAAAAAATCAAGCCTGGATTTGTAATATTGAAGGATTCTATTGGAGTCCTGGTGTGGCGCTGTGAGTTAATGTGCTAGACTGCAAAGTCGTTTGAACTACAAGCTCAGTGGTTCAAGCTCACCAGTTGCTCCTTGGAAACCCTATGCAAGGTCGCTATGGGTCAGAACCCATTCAACAGCACTTAACAACAACAAATGGGAAAAATTCTGAGTGATACAGAAAGCATCAAAAGAAGATGGAAGTAATACACAGAATCACTGTACCAATAAGAAACAGTTGATGTTTAACCATTTCAAGCAGTAGCATATGATCACGAGCCAATGATACTGAAGGAAGAAGTCCAAAGTACATTGAAGGCATTAGCAAAGAACAAAGCTCTAGGAATTGATGGAATACAAACTGAAATCTTTCAATAAACTGATAAAGTACTGGAGTCACTCATTCATTTACGCCAAGAAACTTGGAAGACAGCTACCAGGCCAACTAACTGGAAGAGATCCATATCTGTGCCCATTCCAAAGAAAGGTGATCCAACGGAATGCGTAAATTATAGCACAATATCATTAATGCAAGTAAAATTTGCTAACTACAAAATCAGGTGCAACTATACACTGGCAGAAAACTGCCAAAGTTTCAAGCTGGATTCAGAAGAGAACATGGAGCAAGGGATATCACTGCTGATGTCAGATGTATCTTGGCTGAACGCAGAAAATACCAAAAAGATGTTTGTTATTCTTAAATGCTGTCGAGTCGGTTCTGACCCACAGCAACCCTGTATAGGGTTTCCAAGGAGTGGCTGGTGAGCTTGAACTGCCAACCTTGTGGTTCAAACTGACCTTGCAGTCCAGCGCATTAATCCACAATGCCACACCTGTGCTTTATTGACTATGCAAAGGCTTTTGAGTGTGTGGATCATGACAAATTATGGACAACATTGAAGAGAATGAGTATTTCAGTATACTAAATTGTGCTTACCAGGAACCTGTACGTAGATCAAGAGGCAGTTGTTTGAAAGACCAAGGAAGGGAACACTGAATGGCTTGAAATCAGGAAAGATGTGCGCCAGGGTTGTATTCTCTCACCATATTTATTCAATATATATGCTGAACACATAATCCAAGCAAGTGGATTATATGAAGAAGAACATGGCATCAGGTTAGGAAGAAGACTCATTAACAACCAGAGACATACAGATGATATAATCTTGCTTGCTGAAAGCAAAGAGGAATTGAAATACTTATTGATGAAGATCTAACACCACAGCCTTCGGTATGGCTTGCACCTCAATGTAAAGAATACAAGAAACCTCACCAATGAACCAATAAACAACTTCCAAATAAACAGAGAAAAGATTGAAGTTGTCAAAGACTTCATTTGCTTGGATCAACCATCAACACTCAAGGAAGCAGCAGTTAAGAAATCAAATGATAAACGATACTAGGCAAATCTGCTGCACAAGACCTCTTTAAAGTGTTCAAGAGCAAAGATGTCAATTTGAGGACTAAGGTGCGCCTGACCTAAGCCATGGTATTTTCAATAACCGCATATGCATGTCAAAGTTGGACAGTGAATAAGGAAGACTCTAGAAGAACTGATGCATTTGAGTTATGGTGTTAGAGAAGAATATTAAAAGTACCATGGACTGCTAGAAGAACAAACAGATCTGTGTTGGAAGAAATACAGCCAGAATGCTCCTTAGAGAGACTTTGTCTCTCATACTTTGGACATATTATCAGGAGGGACCAGTCCCTGAGGAAGAATATCATATTTGGTAAAGTACAGGGTGGGCAAAAAAGAGGAAGACCCTCAATGAAGGTGAACTGGTCCAGTGGCAACAGCAATAGGCTCCAGCGTAGCAATGACTGTGACGCTGGTGTGGAGCTGGACTGGGTTTCATTCTGTTATGCACAGGGTCACTATAAGTCGATGGCAGCTAACAACAATGATGATTTTGAAAGCTATTAAATAATTCTCGAAAAAGAAACTAAAATTTAATGTATCTGATGTTTATTTTTAAGTATGTATAGCCTAAAAATGTATGTATAAACAGTAGGTAAGGATAGGAGTTAGACAAGGGGGTAATAGGGAAAGAGAAAAGGAGGTATACAATTAGAAAACAGCTCTTATTGCCACTAGGAAGGACTTTAAAAAATATTCTATAGTGAAAGGGACCATTGGTATTGTTTTTAAATTCACATATATGATCTGGTCAAAGATAGTCCCTTGAGACAGACTAGATTTGTACATTTAACAAACTGACCACTGAGGCCAATCAAATCTGCTAAGACCTTGTTTGTAAACCCATTGATGTCTTCTCCCCATTTCATTAGCCCAAGTTCCCATGAGAGGAGAGACGGAATAAGTTGGTTGTATGACCTATTGAAAATGTACCAGAGTTTTAGACAGTTCATCTCAAACTGTCATTGTAATGATACCGATGTAACAGCTTACAGAAAGTACAATTTCAATATTGTAAACTAGATTTCAGTTTTTATCAAATTGCTTCTACATAGTAATTAAGGTGCCCTGGTAGTGTAGTGGGTTATCAGTTGGACTGCTAAACAAAAGGTGAGTAGTTCGAATCTAGCAGCTGCTCCACTCCTGGGAGAAAGATAAGGTTTTCTGGTCCCATAAAGATTTACAGTCTTGGAAACCCTATCGGGGTTGCTACAGTCAGAACCTATTCAATGGCACACCACTACCACCTCATAGGTTATTCAGAACTCAGATAATAAAGCCAATGGAAGTTACAATTTTCAGTTATTCAAAATATACTGATAATAAGTTATTACCTTGTACAATCCACGTATACCTTCATACTTATGTATTTTCACAAGTGTATCAAACATTCCTTTATATTTTCGCTGTGAAGGGTTAACTTCAGTCTCATACTGTAACATAAGGCGAGTTTTTGCTACCCATAATGGGTTTGTAATGCAGAGGGTCATGGCTCCTAAAATCAGATTTAAGTAAAATCATTCAATATACAGCTATGTTCTCATTTTTGATATTGCACATTAAGAACAATGAATTTATATAAAGAGTGGGATCACACAGGGGCTGTATCTGAAACATGTGGTCTTCAAGACAGTCCTAGGTTTGCTGTTGTGAGTTGCCCTCAAGTCGATTCCAATTCATGGCGATCCCATGTATGCAGGGTAGAACTGCTCCACAAGGCTTTCAAAACTGAGAACCTGTCTCCTGAAGAGCCAAACATTCAGCTAGTAGTTAGTTAACCATATGTGCCACCCAGAGACTAAAAATGATTAGTCTCAAATGATTTGCTAAAAATGATTTTGTTTTCTCTGGGTGGCACATATGTTTTTGGTAGTCCTAACAAGGTATTCGTGGTTAATGTAAGGAGACAGAAATGTGAAATCCTTTCCCTTTGGAGTCTGAAGATAGATGTGGGTCCTACCTGGTGCAGAGAACAGATACAAGTTCTGAGAAGCTGACTCAGAAATGAGACATGGTATAAACCAAAGGGTCAAAGGGCCAGGAGACCAGGGACACAGCATTCGCTATATGAGATATTTATCAAAATCTTCCTCAAATCCATTCAAAGTAGCTATTACTCTTCAAACATAAAAATTACATAAGATTTTACATTTTTTAAGGAAAATTATAATGTTTGTTTTTTAAATTAGGAAAATATCTTGTTTGTAGAGTTTCCTAAGTTGTCATTTTTCAAAAGATAATTTATTAAGTCCTGTTGTGGACCCTATAAACATTTTGGATCACAAGGTCGGTGGCTCAAGCTCACGAGCCACTTCTCGGAAACCCTACATAGGGTTGCTATGGGTCAGAACCGACTCAACAGCACTTAACAACAATTGAACTGTGTAAGTCTAAAACTGAAATTGTATTTTACTTAAACACTCTAGTCTTCATAAACTATTAATTCATAATTTAACTACCTTTGTGATGTGTAAAATTCTTGTAATCTATCCAGAGCAATCAGGGGAAAGACCTGCTTTCTGAAAGCTTTTATGTGACAACTAAAAGTAAGAAAAACTAAGTAACTAAGTAACATATTTGTTGTTGTTAAGTGCTGTCAAGTCAGTTCCAACACACAGCGATCCTGTATAGGGTTTCTGAGGAACCACTGTTGAGTTTGAACCATCGATCTTTTGGTGCAAATGACCTTGCAGTCCAGGACTTACTCTACTGCGCCACACCAAGGCTCCAAGTACATAATTATATGATTATATTTAAACTCCAGTTTTCAAAGGGAAAATAAAATCAGAGAAAAAGTAAAAATCAAATTGAAATTGACATTTTGTATTTCACAGTTTGCCTTACCAGCCTCAGCAGCTGAGACAAGGTATTCTGTTGCTTCTAACCGTTCAGTTCTTCCCTCTGTCTTATATGATTTGATGGCATTGTAACTAAAAATTTAAACACAAACAGCTTGATAAATACTTGAATAGGTATCATCAAACACTACAGTCTGTTGGAAATCTGTTAACAGTGCCCCAGAATTAACGTGTAATACAGCCACAAAATGAGATCTTCAGGAAAGGATTTGCTAAAAATGATTTTGTTTTCTTTTTTATATTAATATTAAATCTTACAAAACCCCACAGTTAAACATTTCACTTTCCTGAATTCTCTTTAATCAAAGTGGCTTCTGTAAAGAGTTATTTCTCCATCTTATCTATATTCTTCTATTAGGAACAATCTTGTTCCAGTTCAGAGAAATTAATTAAATTAGTCTGTAATTTTGTCATATTGAAATCATCGGGGGAAAAAAAATCAACTATCATATTGAAATCATTGGGGGAAAAAATCATTTTTACTTTAGTATTGTTAAAATCTCCCAATATACTCACAAAAAAAAGTAGAGTCCCCAAGATAATCCTGCACCCCATACATTTGGGGTTACTCCTTGGTAAAGTCCACGTAGTCCACCAAGTTTCCAAATAGTAGTCAAACAATGCAAAATTCCTTTATACTTTGGTCTCAGTTCCAATCCATCACTCACTACATTAAAGGATACACAAAGTTAGAGGAGACAAAGTTCTAGCTCTAAGACACATATAAACATAGATACCACACAATGAATTGTATCAAAAATATAAAAAAATACTAATTTAGGGCATACTAAGAACTCAAATTATATTGGAGAAAATGTTAGATTCTCATTTTAAAAAATAGTATTTGTGGAGGTTTTTTTGGTAAGTGTACACAGAGAAACAGGTTCCCATTCAATGATTTCTGCACATTCGTCAACATTACCATAATTTCCACTCTACTGTGTCCCATGAACTTAGTCTCACTGCTCCCCAACCTTTTCACCTATGCTTTAGAGTAACTGTTGACCAAAGGTGATATTCATGAGCTAACCTGCTATTTTGCTAAACTTGAAGAGATAGTTTCATTTCAAGGTTTAAAGAATATCTTAGAGCAATAGTCTCAGGAGTTCCTCTAGTATCAATGAATACAGTAATTCTGAATTTTTTGAGAATTTGCAGTTGTAGTCCTCATTTTTCTCCCTTTCTACTAAAAGTCATCTATTGTGGACCTGATTAGAATGTTCAGTAGTGGTAGCCAGGCATCATCTAGTTTTTCTGGTCTCAGGGTACAGAAGCCCATGGTTCACATACACAATCAGTCCTGTAGACTGGTTCATTCTCCTTTCTTTTTGGCTCCAGAGAACAATAGTTGTATCTCAGATAACTGCTCCCAAACTTTCAGATTGCACATGCTAGTCACCAAAGTAGGATGTAGAACGTAACTTCATAATGCCAAATGATTAAGTTGTCCCATGAGACTAAGACCTTAAGGCTTTAAACCAAGAAAACGAATCCTGTGAGCTGATGGGATTATTCTTATGAAGTATCAGTTTCTATGACCCCTATTTGTTTTATACACACACACACACAAGTGGATTTCAAAAAGTTCATGGGAAATTTTAAGTAAATGAGTGTGTAATTTTCCCACTAATTCTTTAAAGCCCCAATGTGTGTGGGCACATGATGTTGCAAAATTATATATAACATAGCGTTTACCCAAACACTCTATTTCTTGTATCCAACTTAGTGACATGAGTTACCTTGGTCAAACTGAATATTTCACTCACATGGATTCCCTCTTAAATAATTCAAAACCTTCTTTGGTAAGTTAAGTTTCAACACTCAACGTTGTTGTTTTCATACTTACCCCAAATTTATGATTAAAAGCTCACAAATATATTTTTTAAATACACTAGCCAGGAACCTTAATTATAACAAGAATGCATCAAAACCTGAATAGTGTAACAAGAAAGAAAAATGTAGATGTACAAAACTTATTTTCTGGAAATTTTCTTCCTACACCTCCAATCCCCACACACCCTAAAACTAGAATTCACACACCTTTTTACTTACTCTGAAAAGCTCTAAATTTAAAAAATGACACATTACAGCAAAGACCAATTTATATGACGTATATTTTATGTTCCTTAAATAAAGGATATTAAAATTCGTTTTGAAAAAAATGACAATACTTATTTGACTAAATAATGTTAACCTTCTATGTGGATGAGGGGGGAATAAAGAAAAATGGGCAAAGATATGAATTGACAATTCACAAAAAAACTACAAATAGCCAAGAAGCACTTTAAAAAAGTGCCCCCACCTCACTGATAAGTATATAGTTACACTACTAACTATAAGGTCTGCTGATCAAAATCACTATCTGATGTCTGCTTCTACAAAAACGTACATTTCAGAAACCCTAATGAGCAGCTCTACTCAGTCCTGTAAGGCTATGACTTGGAATCAATTCAATAGCAGTACGTTAGGCCCTTTTAGGGAGCAATTTATAGCAGTTATCTACTTAAAAGTTAAATGCAATTATCCCTTGCCATAGCACCTCTAAAAATGAATTCTATAGCGACACTAGCCTAAGCACATAACAATGCTATAACAGTTTCTGTCATAGCAAAAGTGAAAGCAATCTCATTATTCATCATGAGGGAAATACTTACATAAATCATGATACAGACATACAATAGACGACAGTAAACACTCTAAAAGAAATTGTATGGCTGTATCAAGAGTAACATGGATATAACAATCTCACTTTTAAAATCCATCCTCTTGGGAATGGAAGAACAAGGCAGATGGGAGGCAGGTTTGCATGGGCTAAGCGGGACAGAGATAAATAATGATGTATGTACAACCTTGGAACAACAGGGCTCTGGGATACAGGGATTGAGGCATGGTTGGAATGGGCAAAAGGGGGGAAATAATGGAGCTTTGGTAGCGTAGTGGTTACAAATCAGGCTGGGAACCACAAGGTCAGCAGTTCGAAACTACCAGCTGTTCCGCGGGAGAAAGACGAGGCTTTCTGCTCCCATAAAGATTTATAGCCTCAGAAACCCTGTACAGGGTCGCTATGAGTCGGAACCAACTCCACGGCACATAACAACAACAACAATGTTAAGATGCTTGGCTGCATTTTGAATCTTGGTTTCCCTTGCATACCATTATAAAATAGACACTTGAGAAGGAGAAACAGAATAGCCAAAAATATCACCAGAGAAAGCTTGTAAGTCCATCTTCTGCCTATAACTGATTGGAATACCTAAAATAGGGATACAACTTGCCCAGTGAAGGAGGCTTCCTGTGGAGCCTCTGAATTGTATTAGACCATAGGTGGAATCCTGATCCCCATCCAGAAACTTCTGACGTGGGAAATTTCCACTCGAAAGGGCAAAAAGACCAGCCTGGAGCGGCTAGAACAGAAGATACTTCTTGAAAGAAAGTCCGACTGTAAAAATACAAAACAGTAACAGCAGTCTGACTGACTACTACAAGAACAAGCAAGTTGCCCACCCAGGAGACATCAAGGCAAGTGGTCGGGTCCCCTCAGGGCAAACCCCCTTCCAAGACTAAGACTCAATCAATGGGAATACACGAGCAGACATGCACGCTGATCGGTGACCACTTTGGTCACTGATAAGGGGAAGTGAGGGAAAAACAGCAATGAAGCTGCAAGCTAAGTCCAACCACGTTCAACAGACTCCTGTGAACCCGGGTGGAGACCTGGTCGGCCAGCAGTGTGGCAAGACCTGGATACTCCTGGGCCCAGAGTCAGTGATATAGCCACAGAGGACGAGAGTGGACAGTGAAACGTCCAGCTGATAAGACGAGAGGGCATAAGCACAAGAACACCCACACTTGCAGATAATACCCCCTTGACCTGGCTTCCATGGCTGGATGATCAGTGTTTAACCTGAAGAAGAAAGAAGAGAAATAAAAGAGTAATCTGATACAATTTGATGAACTTGACCTACATCTGTGGATGCAGTAGCTCAAAAGAGGGAACAAATCTTTAAAGCGAGGATCATTCCCACCCCACTCCCCATACACAGATTCGAAAGGGATGGGCAACTTGGACATTGGCTACCCAAAATGGGGGTCTACAAAGGCAAGAAGTGACTGGCTTACACGCTTTCAAGAGGGAGCCTAGATCCAGAGGGCGCAGAGGAAGGTAGAATCTTCACTGAGTAGTATCCAATCTGTCTAGGTGGGGCTGATGAAAGGAGATGGGGATAGCACTCATGTGGTACAATAGTGAATAATTGTTATCAGGACTGACTGTGAGGGTTGGAAATGTGAAGGTAGACGTTTTGTAGCAAAAGGAGAGGAGTGGTTGATTTTGCAGGTCAGGAGTGGAGGTCCCTGGGGCCATCAAGTGACAAGAGCCGAGTGTGGGACCCTACCTAGAGAAATAGTGACCCCAGAGATGGAGGCAGAGACGATGACATGGAGAGATGGAGCAGCTGGGAACTCTAAACCCAGAGAGGGAGAGGGACTGTGTGCTGACAACCAGGGGGCAGGCTTGCAGGGTGTACCATCTGGTTGGCTGATGATGCATGGAAGGGACTGTAGCCATGGCAATGTAACAATATACGATAGGATGAATGTAAAGCTAATGTTCTCCCATGTAAACTATCACATAATTCACAGTAAACAGTTTTTTTTTAAAAAAAAAAAATACACCCAAACCATCCTCTTTCACTATATGTTTACATATGCCTAAAAAAGAAACAAACACAGCAATAGGGAATCCATAGGGAATGAGATTGGGAAGTAGGGGTTGTAGGGAGAGAGTGAAAAGACAATTGAACAATACAGAGAAAGTAAAAGGTTAAAAAATAGACTTATTTTATAAGAAATAAAGGGAAAAATGTTAGTTTTCAAATTTGTTTCTTTTATCTCTCAACCCAGAAAATTTCCAAATACTTTACATCAGCAACTGACAATGAAAATACAGCAACAGAATAACACTTTTAAAAGACTTTTTGTGTCATCAACACTGGACTAGCACAATCAAAAAAGACAGCCTTTTTTTTTTTTATGTTTTATTGTGAATTATATGATAGTTTACATGAGAGAACTTTAGTTTTACATTCATTCCATCGTATATCATTTCATTGCCATGGTTCCAATCCCTTCCATGCATCAACAACCGACCAAAGGGTATATCCTAGAAACCCGCCCCTACACTCCCCCCTTACCCCCAGTCTTCAGCCCACAGTCCCTCTCCGGATCCAAAGTCCCCAGCCGCTTCATCACTCCACGTCATCTCTGTCTCCATCTCAGGCATCTCTGCTTCTCTGGGTAGGGTCCTGCTCTTGGCTCTTCTACGTTGATGGTCCTAGAGGCCTCCGTTCCTAGACTGGAGAATTAATCACTCCCTTCCTTGCTACAAAACATCTACTTTTGCATTTCCAACCCTCATAATCAGTCCTGATAACCATTATTTACTACAGTATCATGAGTCACCCATCTTGGATAGTACTCACTGGAGATTCTGCCTTCCTCCACGCCCTCTAGCTCTAGGTTCCCTCTTGAAAGCTTGTAAGCCAGTCACTTCTTGCCTTTGTAGTCCCCCCGCCCCCCTTGGGTATCCAATGTCCAAGTTGCCCATCTCTGTCTACTCTGTGTGTGGAGGGGGTGGGAATGTTTCTTGCTGTAAGGATTTGTTCCTTC